GTGACCTTGAGAAATTGCTCTTTTTTAACATAGTTGAAAAATTTCAGTATTATAGGTCTTGATCTCTTGCTTCTTGGGTTCCCAACAAAATGAATTCTCTCTATATCTTCTTCGACCAGATGTTGGGAGTTCATAATAGTATTAATCCCGGTCACCACTTCCTGCTTAAGATTAGTTCCTTTTTGATGCTCAAAATTCATTATTTTGATGTTGTTATGTCTTGAGCTATCACTTTCTTTTGCAGATCGTTTATCTTCTGTTGTTGCATCCTTGCTTTCTCTTGGAAGTCTTCCAATTGCTTTACTCTGTCCTCATTATTCTCTATGCTAACTTTCATCGTCTGCATTTCTCCCTGAACTGTTTTCAGGTCCTTTCCCATCTGCTGAAATTCCTTCACTAAAAAGTCTATTTTGGTAAGAACCGGTTCCAGTTTTAGTAAGAACCTGTTCCAGTTTTACATGGCATGGTATATCTTTAGCCAGGTCTTTTACACAAGTAGTTAGCTCTGAATTTTTTTTTCCATGCTGGCTTCAATTAGACTGCTCAGAGAGGTAGCCCCTCGCTCCTCCTTTCCAACAGCTTCCTGAGTCTCTCTAGAAACTTCTTTGGGTTCCTCCTCCACTCGTCTTAGACGCTCAGGACTACAATCTGATGGTTTTCTCTCTGGCAACGCTTGTGTCCAACTCATAGATCTCTTATCTCTATTTTCCCTGATGAGCAAAGCAAAGCTTGTAGCACAAGAGGACAAAGCAGCTCATTAGCTGTCTAACTTTTCACTGGCATTCTTCCGAGTGAAAGCAAAAGTGCATTCTTCAGATAAGCAGCCAGACTTTAACAGTTTAAAAAGCACTTCCATGTCTGCTTAAACTTTTCATAATGAATTTAAGCAAGTTTACTCACATTTCAAGAAGGGGGAAAAGGTATTTTTCAGCTTATTTACATTCCACAGGGTGAGGAAATAGCTGCGCATCCCAGCCTGGCGGAAGTGACATCTCAGAGGACTTCTTTTGCTACTCATCCAAGTAGCTTCTTCAGTCTAAGAGGACATTGATAAGAGGAACTTTGTCTGGATGTGGGGAAAATTTCTGATAAGATCACTGCAAAAACTAACCCTCAAGTGGAAATATGATATACATAGAAGAGCATTAGTTCTCAGTTATTCATCAAGCACAATAAATAAATAAATGAATGAATGAATACAGAACGGTAAACCTAGAAGACCACACCAAAATCTCATGAACTATTGTTTTACACTTTAAAAAACAAACATAACATTTCATCCATTTCAATAACCTCATGTATTTTTCATTTCAGTTATATAGATTTGTAGACCACTTCATTATTAAAGTTCTGGAAACAGCATGCAGTTTAAAACTTACATCAGTATATGAACTGATTCCTTGAAGTCACATGTAGAAATATCAGAATTGTCTTCCACATACTTTTATGTGTAATTACTACATAACCCAATCTCCAGATTGTGAGAAAACAATTGATAATGGCATATATCTTACATCATCTCGTACCTTGTCTAATGTATTTCTACTAGCCACAAGTAGAAGCATATTAATCCACATAAATTCAGAGAAACAGCTTCTGTCCTGCCAAACCTGAGCATGTATTAGCCCAGTCAGGCCATAATCCGCTTCAGGTGTTACAGTGTCATTATGGAATGGGGTTCTTTTCACTTATGACTGTAAGTGCACTAAACTTCAGTATGTATATCAGAATAGGAATCATATAATTCCATATGGGAATCATATGGCCCTCAAGACTCTCAGGACCTTTTTTAAAAAATAGCAAATAGTTTGCTTAATTCTGTTGGGTTGTTGTTTTGTTTTGTTTTACCGTGCCCCTTTTTTTTAGAAAAGCATGTTTCTTTTCTAAGAGATAATCACTTTCATTTTTAAAGGAAGCCATATTTAACAGTGGAAGCTGAGTTTCTGGTAACTTTTTATTTCAATTGGAGGGGCTGTTGTAGATCTGGGGGATCCTGTCACAAAAAAAAAAACAAGTTTCTAAAACCCGGAATTTGCTTATTCCAGATACATACCTGTATGATTAAAGCTTTAAAAGATGGGCAGCAGTTTGAGTTAAGGGAACAGGAAATCAAGAGTGACGCAGCAGACAGCTGAGCCAGACATAAAAAACCAAGTTCTCCCCAAAAACTCCAACCACTGAAGTGCTAGAGAGGACTCAGATGGAAGTCACCCCACAACGTATATATCACTTGCAGTCACTCTTCCCATCATCTCACAGAAACGCAGGGCAAATTAAAAGACTTGCATTGCTGTTTTCATACCCTTTCATTCATTTTCTTTGTTCTCTCACTCATCTTTCTTTATGGAACTTTACTGAAATGCTAGTATTAGGACTGAGTGTACATGTGGTAGTGGAAGGTTGTCATAGGGGCCTCAAGGGGAAAGATCACATATACAGGGCATTAAAGTCTGCCATGTTTCAGAAATTCATGGTGCTGCAGAGCCTCCCCCTGACCTCACTGTTCATAGCCAACTGCATTTTCCCTTATTCACAGGGATTTTTAAAATTGTTTTTAAGGAAGATCCAGAAATACAGAGATAATATCATGGAGATCGAGTGGGTCAGAATTAGAGATGGGAATGAGCTAAACTACAAAAAAAATACCCTCACGAAGCAGGGTGCTTTGTGGTTTGGTTTGTGACTCCATTTGTGCATTCTGTTTTGCCAAAACACTTACAAAAAAAAGTCATGGAGGAGGGTAGTTTGTGGTTTGGTTTGTGACTCAATTTGTGCATTCTTTTTGCCAAAACACCAAACTTTTTTCTGTCTGGTGCTTTATTTTGCTTTGGCAAAACAGATGTTCCTACCCCATTCCCACTGCCCCCACCGCCTCCCTACCTGGTTCTGCCACATCCTCTTCCTTCTTTGCCACCACCATCTTCAGAGATTGTGGCTCCACCCCCAGAAGGGAAACCCAAATGCCATCCCTGAAGATGGTAATGAAGAAGGAGGAAGAGGAGGAAGCAGCAAAACCATTTAGGGTGGTGAGAGGGCAGCAGAAGGGGCAGGCACTCGGTTCCCCTTCCCCCAGGCACTAACCAGAAAAACAATGTATGGGCCAGTTCGTTTTTCCAGTGTTCATGGGTGGTTCATGGTTACTCATGAACCACCCTGATTTGGCATTTTTCCAGTTCATGCCCATTTCTAGTCAGAATGTTTGCTAAGGTGTCCATGATGATGTCCCCTGATCTACCTGCCTTTCTGACAGGGTCAGCCCTGGGTCTTCTGCCCATGCCTAGTGAAGTAGATTCCAGCTCAACTTTCAAACCCAATCTTTCCTCCAAATCTGCACTAAAGAGCTAAATTCCAGGATTGAAAGAGGAGAAAAGGAAGGAGACCACCTACTGTATCAGCAAACGTCCACTTGTATAAGATTGGAACCTGAGGTTACACCTTTTTATACCATGGAAACATACTTGGTATAAAAATGTCAGACCTAGCAGGCCTTTGAATCTTTGTTGCCACTCATCAGCATAAGTAGTTGTTTCTTTCCTGAAAGATGGTTCAGTTGCTCAAGCTACACCTTACTTTCAGAGCTGCAAGCATGCTATGAATTTAGCAGCAACTGCACTGTTGCCAAGGTAATTATTCTGAATCCCAAAACTGTTTGATCAGCCTCAGTCTAGAAAAACAAACAACCCTCTTATATATTTATGTAAGTAATTTACATCTTATTTACAACAAAACTAAGCTCTATACGTTATCTCATGACTACAAGCTATAATAAAGAACACACTTTTTAAAAAAGCATTAAGGCCCAAATCCTGTACTAATCTGTGGGCTCAAAAAAGCAGCCAAATAGTAAAATGAGTGAACCATAATCATGGCTGTGTCTCAAATATGGTTCTGCTTCTAAGGTGGGCAGCACTGCATCTATGACACTCACACACATTCACCACCAGTGTGTATCACTGTCCATATATCAATGATCCCAAACCCTCTACACTGTCGTTTAAATTTGTGAACAAGGATGCCTTCTCTTTCTGGATTATACCCATCAGCAAACAGCTAGTGCCCCTTTTCACACTGCTGCTACATGACTCTGCCAAAGCTAAGGGCTTACTTCACAATACCTTTTTTAAAATAGGATGTTTTCTGGCAAATACCCAGTTTGGCGATGCATTATACGTAGCATGGACCAATGGTAATTGTGTATATTAAAACTTATGACCTCTATATGTAAAATATAAGTAAGGCCTCTAAACCAGAAAGAGTTCTATTTTTAGTTAACAAAAAGATTTTTAAAATGTTCATTGAATAGGGTATAATAAAATACAAGAGCAAGTTGCCAGTTTTTTTCGGCATGCAACCTAAGCCTTTACTTTTAACTGGTAATTTAAATGCACCATATATGATTGAACAAACTCCAAAAGGTCCTGTCCTCAACTGGCCTGCTCAGCTCTTGTAAACTCAAGCCCGTGGCTTCCTTTAGGGACTCAGTCCCTCTCATATTTGGCCTTGCTCTTTTCCTGCAGCCTTCCACCTTTCCCAGCATTCTTGTCTTTTCCAAAGAACCCTGTCTTCTTATTTTACACCCAAAGTAGCCTCAATTTTGACATTTTTTGCCTCCAGCGATAGTTCACTTCTTCATCTTTCTGGCAGTCCAGGGTATCCACAAAGCCCTCATCCAGCACCACCTTTCAAGCAAATATTTTTCCCTGTCAGCTTCCTTGACTATCCAGCCCTCACACCCATACATGGTGGTTGGAAACACAAGAGTGCAGATGAGGGGTGGAAGCAGAGTACAAAAGCTTATATGCATTCCATATAACTAGTTATGTCTTTTCTCCATTCTGTTTTTTTTTGGGGGGGGGAGAATTACAAACCTCCCATGAGGGAGTCTGTGAATTTATTAGAACAGTGGAAATGGGATGGGTAGAAGTTTTTATTCACTGTTAGCTTCCTACTGTTTATTCAGTTTAAAATCTCTCTCGTAAACTCTTTTTTTTTCCCTTCAGAGGGAGGAATAATTCTGGAAGAGAAACAAATAAGAAGGTACGTAAATGAGAATTGATTACCTAATTATTCGTTTTGCAGCATTTTGTTCCACCTAAGATATCCTATGTCCAGAGAAACTCTTTCTGGAAAGTTTCCAAATAACTTCTAAATCTTTGTGCCTCTTTCCATTCAGAAAAGATGGTCAGTGGAACAAGGATGGCTTCCCTCTTTACTTGCTTTTCCAATGGTTACACAAGCAGCTACGGGCCCTGGAAAATTCCACACTAACTTGTATTCTCTGAACCATGTGCAAAGTGACAAGCTTCTCTGGGTTTAAAAGAGTCCAGAAAATTTCCTCCACTATTGGTGATCACTGATGAGTTTGCCATTAAAGTTTAAATTTCTTGTCAATTGTATCTCTCTGGAGTAGGTGTTTCTACTAGCTTGTTAATTTCACCCACCTTCTGCTACTTTTCAAGACAAAATTTGCCCTTCACCAAGATGCTGGACATCCACCTCATTTATTTTCTTCTTTTGATAAGATGACACAAGAGTTTTCATATTCAAGTGCCAAATTTTAGCAAGAGAATAAGATGGAACATAAGGAGACTTCAAATTAATGCCAATATTTGCCTTGTGAATGCAGCCTGGAGGACAAACTATTCTAGCTCAGCAGACAGTTTCCCCTGTCATAGCATTGCTTTTAATTTGATGAAGGAAGAAAGGATTCGGTAGAGTAGGAAAAAAACAGACATGTAATATATCATTTGCTCTTCACAATCAAAGCTCAGAAAGATAATTTTTGGGCTACACCTGAAGGAGAGGACTCAGGAAGTTGTTGTCCAAAAAACCAAGCAGGCCCAGTTCTGCTAATAGTATGTATCATTCATGCAGACAACAGATTTGAGAGTATTTTTAAATTCAGGTGTACTTATTTAGAAACACCATGTGTCTTTATAATTTAAAAAACTAACCCTGGGGCCATTACATGTTCTTTGAGATGATAACATTGTATCTTAAGTTTCATAGATACAATCACAACTATATTTTTTTAAAAAAAATACTACAGCAGAAAACAGAGTTGAATGTGAAAGGTAGTGAAAAATTTTAGGTTTTTTTCCAGGTAGGCTATATGAATTAAAGAGGGCAAGAAGAATTAGGTAATGAAATCGTGATTACGGAATGAATGCCAGGGTACAAATATACATCATTATACTGCATTTTGACTTTGCCCCATGGATTCATTTCCAGTTATTTCACTTATCTTTTCATTCCTCTTTTGAGCAAATAACAGCAACCACACCAAGTCCTCTGAAAATGAATAAGACTTCTTATTTGGTCAGTTTACTCATGGCAAGTACAGGTACAGACTCCAGGGTGAAGAAATTGCTTACAAATATATTTATTTCTCAGATTTCGAATCACTTTACTGTGCTGAGTGGGAGTCTATGGCAATTTGCCAGTGAGATTAAATATATTACTTTGTACAAGAGGCAAGAGCAGTTGTGATGAACACCAAATAGCTGAACAAATATCTCAGCTAGAAGCAAAGGCAGACCCCAGATGTCCCCATCGCAGTGATATTTCAAACAGAAAGCATGCATGCTGAGAGCAAGAAATAACTGGAATTACATGTAAAAATGTTTTAGAATGTACCCAGACAACCTTTTCTATTCTTATCAGAGTACATCGGAGTACCAGTATTATTTGGAATTAAATGGCAAGGTGAACTTGTAATCTTCCCTAGTGTCCACTTTCAACAGGCTATTCTTGGTATCAATGAAATGACTCAACATCTCATTCTTTGTATGAGAGACTTAAAATCGACCTGATTCTTTGCAGATGATAAATGAATTAAACCAGAAATTGTTCAGAGACTTCATGATTTGCAACAGGATATACAGAGAAGGCCAATGGAGGGGTGAAAGCCTGTCTTGTCCTCATTGGCTACTTATACACATTCTGTATGTATATGTGAATGTACATTTAGTTGTCCTGTTTCCTAACATAAGCTGCAATGATGCAGACCAAAACTAAGAAAGATTTTGCAAAGAGTATCATGAGAGGAAAAAGATAGCATTGCCATTCTC